GATGGAGATATGATTAATATGAATCAGACATCATTATACCGGAGAGATAAGGTGAGTGAGGTAATATTTTATTGGATCAACTTTTGTTGTTGGACAATAAAAGAAGTTGATGTAATAAAAGATATTACCTCACCAACTTTGTATGTCTCATATCCCGGGACCAACATGCCTAAAACAACACTGCAACCCGTCGCTATACCGATGGAGATATGATTAATATGAATCAGACATCATTATACCGGAGAGATAAGGTGAGTGAGGTAATATTTTATTGGATCAACTTTTGTTGTTGGACAATAAAAGAAGTTGATGTAATAAAAGATATTACCTCACCAACTTTGTATGTCTCATATCCCGGGACCAACATGCCTAAAACAACACTGCAACCCGTCGCTATACCATTGAGTTTATTATATAAATACTGTTGTAGTAGAATTTTTATAACTTCCAAAGAACATAACTGTCCTTAGAGTGCACTTGTTTATCTCAATCTCTTCAATAGCTTAGTAATAAATCGCTGTATAAAAGTGTAAATACTCTATAAGTGGGAAGGGATTAGTAGTATAACAATAAGTATTATCCCAGAATCCTCTTTTGCCTTTCAGAAGTTCACTAAAATCCATAGGATTAAGATGAAATGACTGAAGCACCCTTGTGCTTTTTTTAAATTTTTCTATACAGTTTTCATTAAACTTGTGGAGGACCCTGTTGTTTTGTGAACTGACAGCCCAGGAAATTGCAGTCCCTAGACAGGTTCAGCAAGGCAGCAGCAGTACATGCTTCCCGCACGCTTCTCTTTGCCAATTTGCCTCACCCCTTTTCAAGAGGGACCACTTCTCCAGACTTCATTTCCCAGCCTCAGCAGAGGCTACCAGATAGTGCCAAGGACACAGTGTGGGGTTTGAGGCAGGGTTAGTTAGGGGCTGGATGGATAACAGTAATCCACTTTCAGCAGGGTCACCAAATGTCTGTCAAAGGGTAAACATTTTTACCCCACTACTAAGCTGGGCTAGGTTAAACCAAGGCCTTGGACCTAGCTTCCTGTTGCACTTTTTCTGATTTTTGCACCTAAGGAAAGGTGCTCAAAGACAGGGGTTGCTGAATTTTGTTACGAGGGTTTTTTATGAAAGCAGTCTGACTAGTAAGTTCTCCCCAGTGGTGTCTGACTGTGTGGGAAGCCCCAGACCTACCCGTACTTACTTGTAGACATTGCCCAAAAGTCTAACACTTGCAGCTTCTTTTGCCAGAAATATGCAAATTAGGCTAAGCATGGAATATCGCTGTGACTCATTTGCATACTAATGAGCCGCTATTTTTGCAGAAGAGACTCTTGCGCCAGAAGGAGCTGTCTACACTGCCCCTTCTTGTGCAAGAAAACCCTTCTTGTGCAATGCCACTAAGCCAATTATTTTCAGGAATAACGGCATTGTGCAAGAGGGGTTTTCTTGCGCATGAAGGGGCAGTGGAGATGCTCCTTCTGGTGCAAGAGCCTCTTCTGCAAAAATGGCGGCTCATTAGGTATGCAAATGAGGCTCAGCGATATTCCATGCTTAGCCTCATTTGCATATTTCTGGCACAAGAAACCGCGAGTGTAGACATAGTGTAAGATTTCACTGTAGTACCAGAGCAATGTATCTTAGCGCTCTCAGCTTTTCTTGACATACTCTACTTTGACAATAGATTAATCACCAGACACTATGAGTTTGGCATGTGTTTGAGTCTAACCACCTCTGCTAGCTCCCTTGCAGTGCCCAAGACCAATGCCCTGACTTCCCTTTTCTCCATTAATGCTGAGCACTTACCTGGTCCTACTGCACTTTTACAGTGGTGCTCTTCCAGGCTCGGAAACTGCCACAAAATGCACAGCCCATTCAAACCAGTCTAAGGGTATCAAAGCTCTTCCTTCCAGCTGCTGATTTCTCATTCGTCCTTCCTTTGCCAGTGCTTGGTTCAAATGCCTACCAGCTGAAAGGCCCAGCCGCAACTCAAATACTAGTTCTGGTCTCCCAGTCATTACAGGGACAGACCCTCAGCTGATGTAAATTGGTATAGCATCACAGATGTCCCTGGAGCAACATCTCTTTACAGTAGCTTAGGTTCTAGTGCAGTGTCCACTTCCTGCATGTGCTCCACCTAGGCATGAGACAGGACTCTGAGCATGGAAATCCCCGGTGCTGGTGGATAGCCCCATTGCAGGGGAAAGATGCAGCATTTCTGGGTGATACAGGATTGGGATCATGCCCGTGTCCTGCTAAAAGGACCGTTACCACCCTGAAGCTTTTCTGTAACATTATTTGATCTAAACAGCTTTTGAGTTTTGTCCCCAGGCCACTCACTCTTTATAATGGGTAAGCTCCAAACAGCTACAAATTAGAGCCTCCTGCCTCTGTTGTTAATCTGCATAAACCTGACATGCTTGTGTGGATAATTCTAGAGTGGTTTATCTACCTTTCTGCCCTGTGCACAGATCACCACTGAGCTGTCTTTTCTGTTGTCTTGCAATGTGAAAGTAGCACCAGGTATTCCTCTGTGCGTTTCTGTGTCTATGGCTTTCGTAGTTGGGATCTTCAGAGCACTGATACCAGGTGTTTTCAGTTTATTCTATGAGGGGAGATTTCATTTGCATCTATGGTTTTAGCTATCCTGTGATAACTTGTTGAATATTAAAATAAAAATAAATATTTTGCTTCTATTGGGACATTTGTATACTCGCAACTATATTTCTGTAAACAGCTGCAGTCAAGAATAAAACATTGAAAGTTTTCATTTTGCAGCGTGAACTGTCATGTTCTTTCAAAGGCTGCTTGTCTCTTGCTCCAGAGAAAAAGAAGCTACTTTCAGGAAAAAGTGCCTGATGAATCTGCCGGGCTGGTGATGGTGGCTAACACAGGTGAGCCCGAGGCCAGGCTGTTCTCCAGCTCAGGCACGCTCGTAGAAATTACCTGAGAGAACACTCTTTGCAGCATGACACCTTCCCCAGGCTATTCAGTGATGTCTGGTTCTCCCACCTCCAGAGTGGTCTTAGAAAGGCAGAAACCCGGCCATGGTTTTTGCGTTGATGGGAACGTGAAAAGTGCTATATTAATCTGGTCCAGTATCCTCTCTGACAGTGTCCAGTACAAGATGCTTAAGAGAAAGGTGCAAGAAATCTGCATAGTGAACAATTATGGAATAATCTGTCTACAGGGGACGACTCAGGTAATTCTAAGCTAATTAACCAGATATCAGTCTTGTCCAAGTACTGGGCAA